CAATTTAAATTCAAATCGTTCAAAATTGAAACATTCTGACATTTTTAGTTGAATTTAAAAAAATATAAGGTTATCAATTCGTTGGAATATTTCTTTCACTTATGGAGTCATAAATGGGTGCTCCCACGTCCATTTTACGAAAATCAGTAATCTTGTATCTTTTTAAGAGATTGTTGTAAGTTGGCGTCTTTAGTTATTGAAACATCGTAGTTTTCGTATTTCTGAAATTTAGTGTTATATATTAAGTGCAGTAACTTAAGTCCGATTTCAAAAATTTGTAACATATTGCCTTTTCCCGCCAAGGTAGATAAATGTGCCGAGTTTGGTAGAAATTGATAAACCGGTTAACGAGATACATAAGGCGTAAGTGGGCGGCGCCACGACCATTTTCCAAAACATTCCCTAAATATCATTTTCTTCTAATACCATGTTCTGACCGACAACGAAAGCACTTTGAAAACGAGTTTTGGGATTGTGGGCTGTTCACGCCGGCTGCTAGTGTTTTCGTTGACATTTCTTACATCCTTTCTTTACAATTTCGCTACAAGAGAAAAAACAAAACCAAAATACTTGTCTTTCAATTTCTTCTCATTAACGAATTTTTATTCTTTTATACTTACTGGCATATTGAAGATGATAAAATATGACTTCCGCTTCGATAAATAATCGAAAAAACTAGTGCAGACCCCGATTGGAACGAGTGGAACGTGAGATTTCAAGTAGTTTTCGGCGAAAACTGGTTTCGTTTGACAGATTTTACATGGACGAAAACATAAGTTTTAGGTCGATAACCAGTCTTAGCAATGAATAAGGCGCATAAAGAAAATCACACAATTAGTCGCATGGGGTCCCCAGTGATCCCAATAAAAAAAGAGTGTTACAAATAAAAAACGAAGTGTGTTTTTATCAAAAATATCAAAGTACTCTATTATTAACTTAAAATAAAAAAAATATTTTCGACTTCAACTTTAAAAAAAATTAACAACTTATCTCCCCGAAAAGAGGTTACGTTAGTGCAAGGTGCATCGAACAAAGGTGGCGCCGTCAGTGGTACCGCTACTTGGGTTTTGCCGATTTTGACAGTTGTGGTAACTTGTAAATAAACCTTTGTTTACAAATCAGCGACAAAGAGAATTTTAATTATAAGTGAAAAATCAGTTTAAATTGTGTTAATTTGCAATTTGTGAGTGGTTTTTGAGTTGAAGACGGCGAAAAAACTAATAAAATGAAGTGCCGTGTGCTAAATTTCGACAGCCGTCAAGATGCGTAGATGCAAGTGTAGCGCTGCGACGAAACGCTGCATTTTGTATACATACACTGAGAAAAAGGATTAGTTTCGACAACTAAAGATATTTAGTTCCCGAATTTTGACAATATTTGGGAACTGTTACCAAGGATTGGGAACTATTACCATCGATTGGTTATTATAACTAAATATATTAAAGCTTCTAATATTCATCTAGGTTGTAACAAATCGTTAATTTAGTTGAAGGGTTTGGTTAATACTAATAAATATTTCTTTGAAGCATATTTCTACAAATTCCATTCAACTTAACGTATGGTTCATAAAAGGATGTTATTAAGCTCTGCTAATGCAGATAAGCCTTCTTTCAACACGTGGTTTAGTCATAGTTACCAAATCTTAGTTGAGGCAATCACGATTTGGTTTGAGAGTGGAACATATTCATGCTTGTGAGCCACCCCTAAAGAATGCTGAGCGCTCTCTGAGCACATACGAAGAGCGCCAGCTGAGCAATGCACACAGTCCCACTTATTGAATCGTTTGAATGCGCTAGTATGCCGACCATTGCATTGTGCGTGGAAATCATTGCTCCGCTACCGCTGTTCGTATATGGGTGAAACACGCATGTGGTCCCAGAGCGCTCAGTAAGCTATGGCATGTCGATCGCTGCGCCATGTGTGCTATGACATGCCCATACTTGTTTGTCACAATTTCAGTTTTGCTATCATCGCGGGTTGTTTCGGTGCGCGCATAGTTTAAAGTTTAATTAAAAATATAAAGTTTGATGCCAACCGGGGTTTTTCAGTGGATATAGTTATAATTCATGTGAATTATAATTTGAAAGTGTCTATTTAGCTAAGGAAAAAGCAAAGCAGTATACTTCCAGCAGATATTGACCTGGGTTTTCGCACGACTGTTCCTGTTTCATCGTTGTTTTTTAGGAAATTCTTACCACCATATACATATGTATTATTTACTTTAGTAACTAACTTATGTAAATATGTACGTATTTTTATGCTTAATATATGCAAATAAAAGAAGAAAGTAAACACAACAAACATCGAGTAAATTTTTATTTGTGTCAAACTGAAACTTTTTTCCCAATAATAAACGGTTAGCTGATTCAAGTCTACGGCAAGTTCACAAGATTAATTGAAAACTTGTATCAACCAAAGCATTGTTTATATTTGCTCAACAATGATTTTATTCAACTAACAATATTGTCCAATCAAGGTAGTCGTTTTGTAATTA